CTTTTTTCTTGCTGCTTGAAGTCGGGACGCGTGAGAAGCGCACGTAGAAACATAAACGCCCGAGGGTCGTCGCGACCGCGACGCTGTCGGCCATGCTGATTTGATCGTAAGACAGCTTCGGAGCTGTCGTAGGATTTCGTCGTAACCTGCGCGAAACTTACGAAAATTTCGTTTCGTGATTACGAATTTGTTCTTAAGTTTTGTCTTATGCAAATTTTTGGCGTAAGATCGTTTCGTGAATCTAGCCCCTGCACTTCCGAAAGTCGCAGGAAAGGTGAGACAGACGCAGACGACGTTGGTAGCAGACGACGTTGCAAAGGAGCAGACGACGCTCAGATAGGGGGTCGGGATCAGCCAATCAGGGCTCGGCGTTCTGACGTCACCGCTACCCCCTGCGCAAGAAGCAGACGAACTTGCCCTCCGCATAGGTTTGTGATTCGCTCTTCGGCGTTGTTATCGGATAATGTAGCAATCTCATGGGATGAGGAGCGATTATAAGATGTCTGGTAGACGCGTCACGCTTCGTTTCTTAAGTCGTCAGTGGCTCTCTAAAAATACTGACAATTTGTAAAACGAAAGCTTCGTTTCATTGGCATAGCCTGTCTGAAACAAATTCGAGACACTTCGTCCGGCGCGTAAAAAGGTGTGGGAACCATTTGGTTCCCTCTATCCCTATCCAGGCCTAGCTTCAAGCAGGCCGTGGGAGCCGTCGTCACCAATGGCGTCGGCCTCCCGGATACAAGGAACCACGAGGCCGAATTCCCCGAAGGGGCCGGCTCTCCCTTGCCCATTTTGGGTGAACGCGCCTTCGGCACACCCTTGAGAGTTATAATGGACGCGACTGCTAGTGGCCTCCCCGGGCGCGTCCATTCTCCGAGGCTACATAAGCTGGCCCCGAAGGTGGGCCAGGGGCGCTCGTCGGCGGAGGCCCTGGCTCTACGGAGCTCGGTTTTTCTTTGTGGGCCTCCGACTTCCCGTGAATCTGTCTAATGCGGCAGCGCGGGAAACCGATCGGGTGATACTGGCAATTGAGCCAGCGCCCAGACTTTTCATTGTCTAAGAGCGAAGCGTGCTGACGTTGCAGTCAATAAACACGTCTTTATACGGACCCATGGAACCTTTGTGTTTCTAAGTGGTAACCCCCAAAGGGGAAATCCCACATCTGGCGCCCCAACGTGCGGCTTTCCGTGGACTGCAAAGACAGCAGCATCCATCTCCTTTCGCTAAGATAGCGAACCAGGTCAATTTCCGGCCTAGGATCAAACAGGTGGACAAAGGGAGAGGCGAACGCCCGACACCCGACGCCACTCAACGGCTTAGTGGCCACGTCAGCCACGCACGGACACAATGCAGTGTCTTTTCAGCCGAGCTCGCTTCCAAACGGAGGTGACTAAACGCCCGGAATACGTCCGAGGCATTCCCTTTCGGGACGACGCCAGCCTACTTCGCTGGGGAGGCGCACCTGCGCTTTTCGAGGTCAAGCCCGTTCTCGAACAAAGCACGGTGACGCAACACGAAGCAAGTGCAGCTTTTTGCCTTCGAGACGGCTCGCGGGGCCCACCCAGAGTGGACACCCTGTCAGCGCACAAACGAAAAGCGTATCTCGGAGCGAGAAAATGCGCTGTGCCTGCAACACCGGTCCCAGTCTAGGTTGCGGAGACCGCCGATGGTGGCCTTCGTTGCCGCGTCGACGGACCAGTAGCCATCAGGTTGACCAAGCGACCCCGGAACAAAGGCCCCCCGGGAAAACTGAGTGAGTCAAAATGATTTCCTTTTTACTCCGATCTTTCCTTCCCGCTATCAGGGACAGAGGACTGGCGTGAGCATGGTTTTCGGCTACTAGAATTGAGTATGTTCCGTTTACCCGCGATCGACTCCGGCCAAAAGTCAGTGAGCGTCGCACGCAACAATAACGTTAGGAACCTTTCAGGGTCACCTATCGAGTTGCGACCCCGTAAAAAGCGACGTGAAACGTGAAAACGCCGCGGGGTCCGGGAGCAGTTCAATCGTGCTACCGGGCAGTGCAACAGGTTGAGCAGCGTCCCGGGATGATTGCGTGTCCGATTAAGGTGACCGCCATGCGGTCACTGGACGAGATTGTGAGCCACGGCACTCGAGGTGTTCGTTGGGAGGCGACGGTAGCACGGATCAGTTTTTGATGCTCAGCAGAACGATCCGGGGTGTAAATATGTGAATAGTTGTAAATACTTTCGCGGACTCTGCGGAGTCGGGCGGTGCGTCCGCCGGGCGGTACGCTCGCCACTAACGTCGCTAAGCAACTCGTATTGTTGCAGACGGGCTTTGGCAGCCGGGCAGCGTACTCGCCGGATCGAGCAACTCGTGTTGTTGCCGATCGGTGCCGTAAATAGTCTTGTACTGCTATTGGCATGGGGGTTCTTTTTTTTTATTTGGGATCGGTTTCTGTTCTTGCTGATGCGGATAAACTCGTGCTACGTCGCTTGGCCTCTACGAACATTGCAGTTTAAGGTGGCTGTCCTGCGCGGCTGGGAGGTGCATTCGGTGCTCTCCTTTGTTCGCGTTGGCCAGGGCAGCACGCGGCTCCAAGACTTTTCGAAGTTAGGTCGCTGTGCTATACCTGGCCACGGGCATTTGTGTTTTAGTCTCAGGTAAAAGCTAACATGTTTGAAAAATAACAATGTTGGCGAGCCTGCCCGATTGCAGCCCTGCATCGTTTCAATATCACAAGAAAGGACAGGGTGGTGCATTTGACATTTCATTGCGCCCGCAAATCGAAGCGATTAGGCATCGTTAGCAAAAGCAGCTACAAAGAACTTTGCCTAGTCGATCAGTCACGAACAAATCTATTGTCCGGGGTGACGCGAGTCAGCTCGGTATGTGGACATCCGTGTTCACATTAAGCGGAGTCGTGTAACCATTTTCACAATAACTCCGCAAGCCGAGCCAGTGCGATGCACGTGACTCACGGCAGAAGCGACACCTTTGTCTCTGCCTCTTTTTTATCTCTGGGCCTGGTGCACTCAGAGATTGGTCGAGTGTCCTCAGTTGGACGGCTCCACCTTGCTCGGAATTTCCGAAGCTTCCTTCTTGGGGAACGAAACGGGAGAGGGGGCAGAGCGCAGGCTGCATTCCAGTTCCCGGCGGTTCCTGGGCCCTGGTTCGATGTCGGGGTGTCATCGACGCCAGGGAGCGTCATCGTCGCCGTTGCCACAGCGTCGCCGGCCTGCCTGTCCAGATCCGGCTCCTCGGCTGCTGGCCAAGATGGCGGCAGCCACCCTCTTCCTGCCTGGACTCGTCTCCAGGCCAGCAACACGTGGCATCTCGTCGCAGACCCAAGCTGTGGACCCGTGCCGACAGCAAGCAGCTCGCATCCCGTCACGGACCCGGTGACAGTGCCCGTGCCACATGGTGCGTCCCCAAGGAGAGACGCCCAGCCGCCGTACTTTCCGCGGTTCCGCGAACATTTCATCGGGGAGTGACCGGGCCGTTCCTTTCTGCCCCCGGCCGGGCCCCTACTTGGACCCTTCAGCGCTGCTCCGGTAAGCCTGCCACGAAGCGTGGGCTGAAGAGTTCGACTGTACCCGGGGTACTGTCAAGCAGCGAGCTAGAGTTTTCAGCATGTACCGCGCTGATCGTTTTTTTATTTCTTTGTTTTTCTTCGCGGCATGCTCCTTCGCTCTAGCGTTTCGTTTTTTTTATTTTGTTTTGAGAGCCGGTAGGCCATTTTATTTTTAGGCCTACCTTAGCCTTGAGAAGGGGGGAGTGTGGGAACCATTGGGTTCCCTCTATCCCTATCCAGGCCTAGCTTCAAGCAGGCCGTGGGAGCCGTCGTCACCAATGGCGTCGGCCTCCCGGATACAAGGAACCACGAGGCCGAATTCCCCGAAGGGGCCGGCTCTCCCTTGCCCATTTTGGGTGAACGCGCCTTCGGCACACCCTTGAGAGTTATAATGGACGCGACTGCTAGTGGCCTCCCCGGGCGCGTCCATTCTCCGAGGCTACATAAGCTGGCCCCGAAGGTGGGCCAGGGGCGCTCGTCGGCGGAGGCCCTGGCTCTACGGAGCTCGGTTTTTCTTTGTGGGCCTCCGACTTCCCGTGAATCTGTCTAATGCGGCAGCGCGGGAAACCGATCGGGTGATACTGGCAATTGAGCCAGCGCCCAGACTTTTCATTGTCTAAGAGCGAAGCGTGCTGACGTTGCAGTCAATAAACACGTCTTTATACGGACCCATGGAACCTTTGTGTTTCTAAGTGGTAACCCCCAAAGGGCGAATCCCACAAAGGTCTCGAGCTTGATTTCAGAGATCACGCACGAGGGAGAAATATTAGACAGTTTATTGGACCGTAGGTTTGCGCACGCAAATAAAGTGCAACTCTCTCCGGGACCTTCCGCGCAGTCAAGTCAGATCGCCGCGCAGCTGGAGGATTGCACAGTGCAAATGTTTACTGCTCGCAACGTACGCGAACGCTGCGATCTGCTTAACACTAAGCCTCTTCGTGCAGTTCGTCACCGACGAACGAACGACTCTTCAAAATATCGCCCAGGTTTTCGCCGTGCACCGGACATCAATAGGTCACCGGATCTATTCCCGCGATAAGTTCGATTTGTGCCCTTTCTACGGGACGATTGACAACCGTCCGTGATCGGATTTGGCAACCCACTCGTACTCTTAGCCTCCGTATCTCGCTGAGAAGTGCGCTTGACCGGCTTGCGGCCAGGCAGCTGCGGCGCTGCGGCTTGGCTTAATTAAAAATAAAATGATTGGAAACGTTTTAATTTTTAATGTTTCTTTCGAGGAGCATCGTGGCGTTGTAAGCACGAATGCCACGGCTGTGGCAAATTGAGCGAAGAAGATCATGCGAGATGTTCACTCGGCAACGTTTACGAACCGCACAACTAAAATAGGCCCGAGCAGAGGGCTTTAAACGTACACTATACTATTGCGTATTGCGTACGTAGGAGCCAGGAACACTATACTAAAACTGTCCATTAAATGAAACGCTTCGTGAAGCGTGCTTACCAATTACGTTTCTTCGATGAATGTACTGTATCTCGTGAGAGAACGGTGAAAGTGCCCTGAAAAAAAAAAAAAGGTAACGAAAACAAAGGTCATAATTAACGTTCTATCTGACATTACCATCGAGTCATACGATCGGAGGGAGAGGAGGAGATGACAATGTGCGGGGACGGCAGGATACTGAACTCTGGTTGGAATAATTGAACCCCGGACAAAAGCTCGCCACTCAAAAGCTCACCGAACAGAAGCCCACTGGACGAAAGCTCACCCATTTTTTCACAAACCCGGGCAAAAGAATCACCAGGAGAAAATTTCATGTTGGTCTTAACACGACTGCGGCCCACTTAGGTGCATACTTGCGACACTAAAACGCAACGATAAATTAAATCTGACAGGCGCATGGTTTGTTGATTAGAGTAGAAACAAGTTTATTTATCGATTTGTTAGAAGCGAATGCAGTCCCTTATGAGCTCCAGCAGTCTTGGTAGATCTGGGAGTCCCTGGAACCCCTCGAAAATATTTCTCAAACGATTCTGCAAGTGCAGAGTGGTTTTTCGTACCCGCTTTGCTGGGGATTCACCTTACCAGGCTTGTGTCAATGCCGCGGCAACGAGAGCCTGATTTTCCTGTAGGCGTTCAATCAACCTCCCGACGCTTGGGTAGACGTGGCCGACAGACTTCTGGAACCCAGTATTCCATCCTTCGCAGGTTTGTTCGTCCGATCTTTATCACGAAGAGTGGCGTCGTACATATTCCACCGTTCCGGGGGAAACTCCGGTCGTCGTCGGCGCACAGTCAGGCAAAGGAAAGAATTCGCTCTCGGTACCGCCGCAGAAGGAGCAGAAGCATAACGGAAGGGGCCGTTGACATACGTGCAATCAAAGTAGTCCAGCAGGTCCCCGATGTCACCGGTAGACTTTTCCCTGATGTAGGTCAGTCCTTCGGGCACAAGCTGTGGTGGAAGGAACGCCAGCCTATCCAAAGTCCCGCACAGCTTTCGAAATTGGTCATCTGTCTTGTACTTGTCCCCCCCCCCCCCCCCCCTTCCCGCAATAGGCCCAACTCCCGTTACTTCGAAATATTTTTAAAGATTCGCAACTCAATGGTTCGTTTATTACAGTTTTGCTTTATTTTTCCTTCCACATCCCCCTGAGATAATTCTTGATATCAAATACATCTATGTCTCTTAATAACGGAAAGAATTTGATTTTCCTTGCCATTCACTTCAAATATTACCAAACCCCAAGACAACCAATGCATTACTAATGAAGAAACGTTGTGCCTAACGTCTATGTGCGTGTTTAGCGTGACATAAGCACAATGAAAAAGCGAGGTCATCGAAGGGTGATTTCGCTTCTTCCGTAACTCTTCGGGTTCAAAACTTCGGTTCACAAAGTTTCTTGGGCGTGTCACAAGGGTGCTCCGGCATACCTTGAGTCAAGCAAGCTTGATCTTATCAGCTCCACTCACTTTCAGCCACTTAAATTTTGGTCCCAAAACGGTTGCTTCTCTGCCTGTTATAACTTATTTTTCCACACCTTTACATGAGATCTGATGCCAGTTCTCATAAAAATGGTGCAATTGATGTCCATCGCGTCTGCACTTTATCCCAACCCATGTTTTGCCCGGGTAGCAAAAAAAAAAAAGAGGTGAGCTTTTGTTTGGGTCTGTGAAAAAACAAGTGAGCTTTTGTCCGGTGAGCTTTTGTCCGGTTACCGGAATAATTAGTGGGTAGACCACGCAAAGCTAGCTTCCTTTGTCTCAACCACCATGGCCTCAACTCAGTGTTCCAACGCGAACGACGGATGCCGGCGTTCGGTGTCCTAGTGTGTTCGAAGTGTGAGTAGAAGAGACAAACGCAGCTAGCTTTGCGTCTACCTACTAATCCCAGCTGCAGGTGGCACCAAGTCTTTTGTTCTAGAAAAAAAAAAGGCCCTCTTATTGAAGAAAAGACTACAAATAAATCGTGGGTGAATCCCCCTTGAGGAAGAAGAGGCGATCTTGAAAGCATATTTATTTTCACACAAGACCGTGAGGAAGGAACTCTCCTAATAACGTTACACTGACCCTCTTATAAAAAAAAGTGGACGACGGTATTTTATTTTTATTTAGTTAATATTTACAATTTTACTGACCACATAATTTGTCCAAACAAAATTGACAGCACAAAGAAAAAAATTAAAACACGGACATTATAATATCGATAGTGACAGATGGGCCAGTTGGTACATGACTACTTTTTCCCAAAATGCGCCGCAAGACAAGGACAGAGTAAGTGACACAACACGAAGCGCTTCGTGTTGTATCACTTACGCTGTCCTTGTCTTGCGGCGCATTTTGTGGAAAAATTATAACACCGACCCCGAGTAGTTTTTGGTGAGACTTACGAACACTCTTCGCAAGAATCGCTGGTATTCTCCCATAAACTTCGCATTTGCTTTGAGGTCTCGTTAATGATATTGTTCACGATGATGTTCACGAAGTCTTGCCCATCGTCCCAGGAGGCGAGAAACTAAAAGAGAGAGACAGAGAGAGGGGGGGGGGGGGGAAGTAATAAACAATAAAAACTCAAATTTATATAAAAGCAAAAAGAAGCGAGATAGCGATATGTGACACACCTATCACCGACATCCTAAACGTCAAAGACGCCCTTTTTTCGCGTGGTCAGAGGACGTGATGATACGCCAATGACGAACAAATAAATTGTACGCGCGATTGACAAGCAGTAGGCTTGCACAGACTTGCGCCCGTTACTTCAAAAAAGTAATTAATTACAGTTACAATTACTTGGCCTAAAAATTAATGGATTACCGTTACAAATTACTCCCCGTAAAAAGTAGTTGATTAATTACTTCGTTACTTTACTCGATTACTTTTGCGTTACTCCAAAAAAGCACGAAACAGACACTGGGTGATTTCAGAAAAGATCGACCAAAGGATGGCTAGTCGACATTTTCAAATCAACTGATGTTTTTATATGTTATTGTCTAGTGTCTGGTATGAACGAATCCAAACTTAGTTTTGACTAGAAAAAAATACTTGGGGACAGGAAAAATCGTAAGGCATGAGATGGTGGACAGTTGCATTAACGCGCACTGATGGAGGGGGCCCGTTTGAGAGTGAATAACTAAAGCGATAACATTAGGAGAAATCTAATACGTTTTAGGCGCAAACTATGGGTATAGCTTGCTTGTAATATAAAGTAATCATATTTATTTAAAATTTAATTATTTTTCTAAAAATTGACAAACATGCCTGCTCGAACGACAAATGGCAAACTTTGGAGGTCTGTATCTCATGAAATAATTTAATCATTATGATATAATTTGCAGATATTATTCTACTAATATATAGCTAATATTTAAAAAATAAGTAAGATATCTGTGTGATACAATAGTTAGGATATATTTAGTCAAACATGGAAAAAAAATCAAACAAAGAAAAATTCCGATGCGAATAAAAAAAAAACACCACCCTCGATTTTTTTTAAATTTAGGTAACCTGTTATACTCTATTTCGGCATTCATTTCCATTAAAAACATGTTGCATCATTTTATTGAGAAAGAAGATACAACTCCCCAAAGTAGGGTCCTTTTTCAAAGCCTACACTTAGCAGTGTTTTATACAAGAACTGACTCTGAGTTCCAGTTTCATGAAACCAACACGCATCTTTTATATATTTTTATTCAGATGAGGCCAATGATAACTAAAGAAATCGTTCACACACTTACATTAAGGAGAAACTACTGTGTACAAAGAGGTATAATATTACGGACTAGTGATCCGAGAAAAGATCATGCAGCCATCGGCCACTATAGAACTTTGTTTACTTTATTCTCCTGCGACACTATATGCTATTCCCTCTTCCGCTCTACCTTCATCTCTCTCTCTCTCTCTCTCTCATATATATCCCTGATATATATCCAGAACAAAAACATGTTCAAGCATTCCCTTTCTGCGTGGTAGTGTTCTGTGGCTAGCAAAAATCATTTCCTCGCTAAGCTCATGATTATGGCAAAATAGTTGCCGGAAACCGCAGACGACACTCGTCGCTAGTTCTGGCAAAACGGCCGATGCAATCTTTTTTTCGCATTTCCCCGCTCGCTGTCAAGGACAAGGGGGTTCGCTTCAACCAGCAAAACATGGCCGCCGACGCCTGTTTACTGAGCAGTCATGCCTGTCGCCATCTCACTCGCTGGCGTCACGGGCGATAATATCAGGCACAAAGGGGCACACCAACCGGCAGCATTATCCCCAAATACTCGAGCCTCGCGTAAATACATAGAGTGTAAACGCTGTCGCCATGTTATCGTAGTAAGACCCCCCCCCCCCCTCCCCCAACGGGGGACTGCAGTACGCGACGGCGTACTAACACAACGGCGACGATATCGACATCGCGGGCTCCGAATTTTCCCATAGTTCTACTCCACGGGCATTTCTCGAAACGCTTGATCTTTTGTACGCCCGCCTGGAAGGATTTCAGTCGCGTAGTTAAGATAAGGCGGTTCTCCGCGGCAAAAGAAAGCAATTTCACAAAAGCTATAAAGCGGCGGCGACGCGTGTGCGGTGAACGCTTGTAGTTTTGGTGTAGACAGTGTGTGTGTGTTCTCGTTGTTGACACCAGCCGGCGATAAGGCACTGCAGGCGGTAGCTCAGTACAGCAAGGGCGAATCCGAGTGACCATCAACGTAACCCCACCGCCAACCCCTCGCAAACCGGTCGCCGACATGGCTCAGGCTGTGTCATGAACCACGTGGTAGAAGCTCGGGTGCTTTCATATCAGCGCGTGGAGGGACGACAGTGCGATTCCGGAAAGTCTTTTTCGAAGGCCGCTGACCACAATTTTTTGTCTGGAGACTTTCCCTCTTTCTTCCTTTGACGTGGATCAAGCTTTGCCGACAGCCTCAGTTGTGACCTCTCTTTTCAAATGTACGTTTGCAGTGAGTGAGCTCCTCAGCCTCGGACTTGTCACTTGTGCACCCAGTAGTTCTTTCACTTGGCAATTATATGCCATCAGTTGGGGTTTAATTTCTATTATTTATGTATACATTATGAAGACGTCCTGGAGCTCCGAACGAGTGTTTTGTGCAGATTACTTTTGCAAACACAAAAAGACTATACCAAAGCAGCGGAATTTTCGAAGTGTTGGCGAGTTGGACCTAAACTCGTTGAAGCAAATTCTTCCGCCTGACTGTTCCACCAAAGTGAGTGCGACGGACTACCTGTGCTACCATTGCTTCATGCACATCACTAAGGAGATCTCGATGCGAAACTCAGAGCAGTGCCCTGACATATTTGTGCCAGCTGAAGAAGCAATTGAAGATCTAAATCGCTGTATACTACCTACAGATGTGTCGCCGCTGAGACAACCAAGCGTCGTAAGAAGTCGGGACAGGCCTGCCTATGTCAAGAAAAAGCAGACAGAACTGGATCAGGTTGCTGTCAAGAATATACGCTCAAGGCTACGTATTGCGTACGACAAGGACGCACCATCGGGGTCGTCCGAACCAACATGCTCCACATGCACTGAGTGGGTGGACAACTTTCGGCAGGCCTTTGAAACCGCCACCTCTCTCCGGGAACGTTGTCAACTGCTTACACTCTTGCCGTCAACACTGACGAAGAATGAGGTTCAAAAGATGATTCCACAGGCCTCAATGTACCTCATCAGTATATCCCGAAAACTCAAGGAAAAGCATGGCGTGTGGTATGAGCCGGATCCTTACACGAGGTGCAAGGTGAGCCCTGAGAACCTGTCTGCTGCCCTAGAGTACTTCACGAAAGACGAGCTACAATATTCGCGCCAAATTCCCCACCAGAAGGACGTCATCTCTGTCATGCTCAACGGAGAGAAAACGTTCGTGCCAAAGCGCTTCATGACACGCTCAATACGAGAGGCCTTCCGTATATACAAAGACAAGCATCCCGATTCCGGCGTTGGGCTAACGAAATTTTATTCGTTGCGCCCTAGATGGGTCCAATGTATTCCACACCAGGAAGTGTGCGTTTTTGTGCGCTGCGCCAATTATTATCTTTGTATTGCCGCTCTAGAGAACGTTACAGGCTCAACATTCAACACTGGTGAAATGAACTCGGCATTTCTGTGCGACCCAGCAACAGAACTGTGCCTTCAAGGAGACTGTGATCACTGCCCAAAAGGCCAGTTTCTTACACTCCAGGAACTTGATATCCCGGGGGATGAAGAGATTGTGCTTGCAACATGGGAGTCCGGCGACCTTGTGAAAAAAACTTTGGAACCTGAGACTTTCCTAAAAGTCATCCAAGTGACGGTTGGAAGTTGGGTACTTCACAACCATACCGGCAAACGCAAGGTAAAGCGATCTACGATGAAAAACAGTGCATGCAACGCGCCAGCATTGTCTTTCATTTTGACTTTGCTGAAAACTGGACCATCGTGCTTCCTGACGAAGTGCAAGCATATCACTGGAAAAAAAACAAGTTTCGATATTTACATGTGTAGTGACGACAAGAAAATCTACAAACAGCTTTGCCATCATCAGTGAGGACCTGTGTCACGACGCCGCTCACGCTTGCTTGGCTCTAGAAAAAGTGAAGGAGTGGGTTGAAGACAACGTTGCGGTATACTCGTACGTGACGTACGTAAGTGACGGCGCCGCCAGTCATTTCAAGAATCGCTACCAGCTTCACCAATTTGCAAAGGACGATTGCCCAGAAGCCCAGTGGTTATTTTCTGCATCTGGATATGGGAAAAATGCATGTGACGGAGTTGGCGGACTCGTGAAGCACCAGGCCACGCTGAACAACCTGAGAGAACGTTCAGTAAGCGCAATTCAGACGGCCAGGACAATGGTGAGCGTTCTATCAAAGAAACTGAAAGGCGTGCATCTTGTATATCTGGACGAAAATGAGGTTGTTCGGTATCGTGAACAAAAAAAAGAAGAGTGGCTGACGGTGCGCGCCTTCCCTGGCATTCAGTCTTGGCACGCGTGGCGGCTCAGCAAGTCATCAACAGAAGGGACCTGTGACGTATATGTAGCACGGACAGTCGGATCTGCTTGGAAGCAACTTTATTAAATGGGTACAGCGAGGAAAACCTTAGCGTAAAGTGCCGAATTTGATTTCCCAAGGACTGCTCATTTTGAATGCAGGGACATCTTATTTATCACATTTTTCTTCACGGGGTATTTAACCTACTGTTTTTGTTGGTGGTTACTAATAATTTTTATCTGATCACTATAAAAAAAATCCCAAAATGTTATCCTCGAGCAGGATAAAATATATCGGCTTGCCACGATTCATTCATACACCGAGAGCATCGAAGCTGCTCCAGGTAGGCACTATGGCATCCGTCACCTGAAATTGTTTGTAATCGTAAATACAAAGTCAACCTAAATATCTTACTATTATATCTTTGTTTTTGTGTGTGGAAGTAAAGTTATTTATTTTACTCTAGATGTAAAATATACCGGAAGGTACAACTTCACACTGCATCATCTTTTCTCAAATCATTAGTCTCTAATATGATACCACTTTGTACGCTTATGTAAAATGCTGTATATAGTTTCCCCTCCCTTTTACTGTGTGACCGATCGCTCTTTTTATCAATGACCTCATCTGAATAAATGTATATAAAAGATTTGTGCAAGTTTCATGAAACTGGAACTCAGAGTCACTTCTTGTATAGGACACTGCTAAGTGTAGGCTTTGAAAAAGGACCATACTTTGGGGAGTTGTTTCTTCTTTCACAGTGCAATGATGCAACATGTTTTTAATAGAAATGAATGCCGAAATAGAGTATAACAGGGTACCCAAATTTTAAAAATATCGAAGGTGGAGTTTTTTTTTTATTCGCATTGGAATTTTTCTTTGTTTGATTTTTTTCCCATGTTTGCCTAAATATATTGTAACTATTGTGTCACTCAGATACCTTATTTATTTTTTCAATAATAGCCATATATTAGTAAAATAATGTCTGCAAGTTATGTAATAATGATTAAATTATTTCATGAGATACAGATTTCCAAAGTTTGCCATTTGTCGTTCGAGTCGGCATGTTTGTCAATTTTTAGAAACTTTATATTACAAGCAAGTTGTACCCATAGTTTGTTTGTAAAAAGTTTTAAAATTCTCCTAATTTTATTGTTTTAATTATTCACTTTCAAACTTGCCCCCTCCATCAGTGCGCGTTATTGCAACTGTCCACCTCTCCCTGCCTTACGATTTTTCTTGTCTGCAAATTTTTTTTCTGGTCAAAACTAAGTGTGGATTCGTTTATACCAGACACTAGACAATGTCATATAAAAACATCAGTTGATTTAAAAATGTCGACCAGCCACCCTTTGGTCGATCTTATCTGAAATCACCCCACTGTATACTGCGTGTTTGAAGGGGAAAATTTCGAGCCTCATCAAAATTAAATAAAAAATGCAACACTATCAGTACTATGTACACATCATTTTAGGATAATAATTTTAGAAGAACGAATCTATAAATTCATAAAGGACTTAAACGGGTAATCAAGATAAGTGAGCCTTTCGCTGTGTCGCTGTATAAAGCCGTGACAGAACTAAATCCCACGAACCTGCGACGAATGCACTTGGGCGGTTGAGGCATGCACACCGTTCGAATTAATCCGAGTTTGGAATCGGCGAGCTTCAAAACACTATTCCCCTGAAGATATGGTTTTTGTATGTTTGCTGCGTGTTGCCTAAATAGGGGCTGGTTTACCTACTAAATCAGACAGGTTGTGAGACCAAGATGCGGTACTTACGTCTGGGTACATTTCAAAGACTCCCGTTTCTTTATGAAGGCTGTTATACGACCAAATGGCACACTTGATCTTTTTTCTTGATCACCAAACTTATGAGAACCAAGACGTCACACGGAATATTAATGCACAAGCTCTCAGCTGCACTGATTATACCGTTTATAAATTATAAAAAAAAAAAAAAAACTATTTTCAGTGAACAGCGCGCTTCCATGTCTTTCACGCGTTTACAGGCGGTTTCTCAACACCAGTGTCCAAGTCAGCCACTGTTTATTCTCAGAAAACTCGGGCTGGTGTTCCCTTTCCCTAAAATTTCGGTTCAAGTTCCCGCAGGCGCAATCCGCTGACGAGGACCCCAGCTTGGATGTCCCAAGCCGTTTTCTTGTGCTCCCTGACCAGCTTATTGCCTGCTGTCCAAAGCTACAGTTTAAACTGACAGCAGGGTTGACGCCAACTTTTTTTTTTGTTCCAATAAACTCCTGCCATCGCACCCCTTATGTTTATGCCCTATGCGTCTGCTAGTGCAAAGTCATGTGATAGAAGCCACATAGCTGGTTGGTTCACCCAGTATTTAGCTTTCACAGCGCTGTCAAGGGTGAGCAGAGCGAGGTCCTAGTAGAGCTTTTTTTTTTTTCGTGTTGGCCCGGGGGAAGGGGGGGGGGGGGGCGTGTCTAGGCAGGAACATTGACAAGCAAAAGGCGGTTTTGTGTAACAACAACAAAACAAAACGAAAAAAAAAAACACCACTGATTGGTTTTTGGGGGACAAAACTCAGAGGGATGCGGAAGAAAGGAGGAGAGGGGAGGGGAGCGGAAGTATGCACCACGGTCATAGTGTTCGCGGCCCTAGTCCTCACGAACCCTACGCGACGGTTTTATGGGCCATTAGTTTTCTGCTCTTTTGTGCCCTCGAAGCAGTCCCTTCGTTTTCCAAGAAGTCGAGGCCTGTTGCCTTCATGTAGACAGTCGAATCCGCCCAGCTTGGCTGACCGTACGAACGGGTCCCGAAACTGGCTCTGGCTTGGCTCTCTTGGTTTGCGTGAATTCCTTTCCTTTCCCACGCCAGCACCTCAGCCGAGTCTTGTGTTAGCATGCTAAAAGCGCGAAGGCCGTTGCATCACCCTCCTCCCACTATTTTTTTCTCTTTGATAGGACGGAAGAATTGTAACGAGTAATTTCAGTAATTCGTTACTGAAAAAGTAATGAGATTACATTACAAATTACATTTTCAAAAAAGTAACGGATTAATTACTAAATTACAAGAAAAGTAATTAATTACAAGTAATCCCGTTACTTGTAACGGATTACTTCCAAGTCTGGGCTTGCACATAACGCGCATCCGCCCGCAACGCGTATCCTATGATCGGAGAGTTAACTGAGCGGGATCAATGGCAACTCCAGCGATACTTTCGTTTCGCCTCAAGTCAGACGCAGCCGACGCTGCGAGTTGATGGGACCAATCGGACAGCGTCTATCGATCAACCAATCATAATCAGAAAAAGACCTAGTGACCGTTGCTTTTGACGCAGTTTCATTGGTCCCACTAGGTCGTAGCGTCGGCTCCGCTTCCTCTACCTCGACGTGATGTCATCGCACTCGGATGGCAAAGCCCAGAGCCGGGCGTCCTTCGACACATTGATTGGACACGAGGCCCAGCCGAGCGCTGACGCAACATTCGTGGCCAATCTGTGTCGGCGCTCCATCTCGCTCTGACGACGACAAAATTCCAGTGCACGGGTTTTTCACTTTTGTAAGTGACAATATTATGTGGTGTTGGCTACGCGCGCTCATACACGCATCGTTATGTCGGCAACCAAGTGACGCTGCCGCTACACTCGAAAACAAAGAAACGCGTGAACTTACGTCGTCGCTCCTTTCGTCTCCAGAATTGACGATGACCGTCGTTTTCTCAATCTGGAGGGGGAAGATGGTTAATATCGTGATAGGAAGGAAGAAAGGGCAGAAAGGAAGACAAAGAAGTTAACCTGGGGTATTTTGTCCCGGTTTGCTACTTTGTTTTGGGGGAGAGGGGTGTGAGGAATAAAAGAGAGAAGAAAGAACAGAAAGTTAAAAAAAAAAATTAAGAATTACAAAGTTTGAACACTAACACTGCGCTATTCACTAACAATGAAGGTCATCTTCTATAAGCAGAAGTCCAGGCGTGTTGTTTTTAGGAATCTAACTAGTGCTTTTGTGGCCTTGGCTTCTTTGTGTGGATTGTCCCAAGCACCAAGCACTGTAGTCACGGAGAAGGGTCGGTTGTCTAGGCATGCTAGCGTGTTTTTGAGTTGTGTCCTTTCTGCGTCGTAGATGACACATTCACATAAGATGTGATGAATTGTTTCAATGGATTCACAACTTGGGCACTTAGGTGTTGTGACCTGTCCAATCCGATGAAGGAACTTGTGTGTGTACGCTACACCGAGTCTCATTCTATGTATCACTGCCTCTGTCCGCCGTGGCATATCACTTGGAGTGTGGAATGAAAGATCCGGATCCAAAGCGTAGAGGGGTCCATACTGATGATAGGTCGCAGTATGCCACAATCTTCTTGTTTCGGTGAAGGCGTAGTGATTAATGAGAGACCGTATGTCGTTTTGACAGTACGGCACCATGACGTTGGGGGTTAAGAAATGGGCTGATTTCGCACCAGCATCAGCTGCCTCGTTCCCAGGTATGTGACGGTGACTTGGGATCCATTGGAATTTAATAGTGTGTCCTAGGTCGAAGCATCTTTTAAGATTCAGTAAAACGTCAATAAGGATTTGATCGTTTTGATTATGTCTCATAAATGTGGATATCACTTGTAGTGCCGGTTTACAGTCCGAAAATATTGTCCAGTGTTCGGGCGGCTTCGGGAAGATCATTTCAAGTGCTTGATTAATTGCCACTAATTCAGAGGCCATAGATGACGTCATGTGGCTAAGCTTGAATGTCTTCGTTGTTAAGTGACTTGCTGTAACCACACATGCTGTTGAGCTATTCGAACTTACTGACCCATCGGTGTAAACATGAGTTGTTGACGCATGATCACAAAGTATATTCGATAATACAAGTTGCATAATTACGGAGATTGGGGTGTTTGCTTTCTTCCTGATTCCCTTAATGTCCACTGTGACATCAGGCACGGGAAGCCTCCATGGGGGCACTATTGAAACCTTTGCCGGTGCAAGATCATCTGGAAAGTGGGCTCTTATTTGGAACAGAGCTTTAGAGTAGTTTGAGTGTTGACGTTGAAGGCCAATATTAGAGAGAGGGTGATTAGTATGTTTCGTAATGTGCCTTAAGTGGACTCTAACTGTTTCCAGTAGAAGCAAAACTTCCACCGGTGTAGCGTGAGCTTCTGCAATTGGGCCAGCGGTCGAGGTACAAGCCGGAAGTCCAAGACATGCACGAAGAGCGCGCGCTTGTACGCTTTTGATTGTGTTGACATTTGTTTGACATAGGCCATGTATTGCGGGCAGGTTATATCGCAGCAAGCCTACAAAAAGAGCTCGATATAGACGGAGTAGAGCCGGTACTGTCCCGCCCCACGTAGTGCCACTAATAAAACGACAGAGATCAACAAAGCCTGTGAGCTTCTTTTTTAAATAAGCGACATGCGTCGTCCATGTCAATCCCCTGTCAATGTATACTCCAAGGAACATATGTCTAGTTACGTATGGAATTGTCTGGTTACAGATACGTAGGGGATATGAATCCATGTTACGCCTTGTAAAAGCGATGGCGGCTGATTTGGCGGCAGAGATTTCAAGGCCACGAAGGTAAAGATATTTTTGAAGTCTTCTCAATGCAACCTGTATTCTTGCTTTTGCTTGCACCCGAGTAGAACCAGAGGCCCATATACATATATCATCTGCATATAATGACGCGTTAAGGTTGGACGGCAGCACTTGGTCCAGTCGAATGAGTGTAAGGTTAAATAGTATAGGGCTCAAAACGCCTCCTTGAGGAACCCCTCGGTAGACGTAGTGATCGGCTGTATCACCCTCTTGCGTCGTCATGAAAATTGAGCGTCCTGTGAGGTAACTCTTTATCCATGCATAGAGACGCCCCCCTACACCAACCTCTAAAAGTGCTTGGAGGACAGCCTCATGTGTGGCACGATCGAACACTCCCTTTACGTCGAGGAATGCCGCAACTGTGATTTTGCGCTTTGCTCTTTCTTCTTCTACGTAAGTAACAAGGTCGATAACAGAGTCTATTGAGCTCCGACCTCTACGGAAACCATGCATTATTTTCGGATACGTATTTCTTTGCTCAAGATACCATTCTAAGCGCCTATTGATCCTTTTTTTTCATCAGTTTTCCTACGCAACTTGCAAGTGCGACAGGACGATACGACGAGAGAAGCAGTGGCGACTTTCCAGGTTTTAGCAAAGGAACAATTCTTGCTCTTTTCCACGAGTCAGGTACCTCTCCATCTGTTCATGATTGGTTAAAAAAGTTTAGCAGCCAGTTTTTAACATCAGCGGCCATATGTTTTAAAAAGGCATATTTGATGGCGTCCGGACCAGGGCACGAGTTGGGTTTTAAAGACGCAAGCGCAGCGTCAAGTTCCCTTAAGGTAAACAGATCGTCAAGACAATTATCAAACTTAGCGGGCGCGCCACCTTTATATAGTCGAGTGACCCTATACAGTCGAGTATTCGCTGGTTGGGTTGCACTTGCTGTGAGCAAAACGCAGAATTCATCCGCTATCGTTTTCTGAGGGCATTTCATTGATAATGAAAGTGCCCGAAATGGGTGATATTGTTGGGGAGGTGTTTTAAGTCCCCTCGATATTTTCCATATTATACTGAGTGGTTTTCGAGGATCAATGTTCGCACAAAATCCTCGGTATCGGCGTTGGCCAAGTTTATCGAAATGACGACTTATCTTTTTTTGTAGTCTTCTTGCCGCTCGAAGATCCTCCTTAAGTTTAGATCGTCTAGCGCGCCGTTCTGCTTGCCGTCGTATTGCACGAAGATGTTCCTACTCGGCGTCGATCACTGTTCGATGAGCTGGAAGTTTGTAGCTGTGCATTGATGATTTTGCAGAAGAAATGATTGCACTCTCAAATTCGTGGAGGCTATTCATTGTTTTGTTTTTCATTCTCTCTTCAAATTCCAACCAATTCACTCGCTGGATTATGTTGCCTTTTTGTTTCTTGACAAAATCGTGAATTATTGTGTAGGTTGGGATATGATCGCTGCCGCGCGTTTCTACATCTGTGAACCAGGCAACAGATGATGCCAAGCTCAATGACACGAATGCCAAGTCAAGGCAACTGCTGCTACTTGTCCCATGTAGGTAGGTGGGACTTCCATCATTCAGGAGAAATAAGTTATGAATGTGAGCTATATCAGCAAGGCATCTCCCGCGAGGAGTCGTTCGAACACTACCCCATAGATGGTGATGCGCATTAAAATCGCCAGTTATAATGTGAGGTGGGGGTACCGTATTTAGAATGTTTTCTAGGCGTTGTCTCTCAAATTTCGATTTAGGCGGTATATACGATGCAATTATTGTGAACGAGAACTTATCGTCGGAGATTGAGGCACACACGTACTCATTGTTCTCGTGAGGTGGAATGACATGTGGCACGTACGTGAGGTCCCGACGGATGAATAACGTGACTCGGCTTTCCCCAGCAGTACGCGATGAATCAAATTTTTCGTAACCTGACAGTCGTAGATTCTGGGGTAACTTTGATTCACATATCACTATGATGGGATATTTATACTTGTGTGCCAACTGACGGAAGTCTGATAATCGTGATCTTAACCCCCTTGCATTCCATTGAAATATTGTTGCTGCTTTATATATATTTTCCATTACCTGAGACCTTGTTTTCTATTGATTTAAAGCCAATTTTACGATATTAAGTGTTCCAAAGCAAGAAAAGCCTTGACTTCAGGGAGTTTGTTGGCATCTGGTGACGTTTGCAGGATGGCTTTAAGAGCTACAAAAAACATTGGGATCAGAAGTTTGGTTAGATCACCTTGTTGGTGCGATTCAAATCGTGGCAGATGCGAAGCTTGAGGAGCCTTTGGTGGCCTGTAGTTTTTAGATGGTTGAATATTGCCTGATGTACGTCGTGCTGTCGAGCTGGGTGCTGGTAGAGACGGTCCTTGTTTTGGTTCGTTGGGGGCGTTTTCTTGGGTCTCCTTGATAGCACGCGGTTTGCGCGTTTTAGTTGGACGTTTCAGAACGCTGGAGTATGTTGTCAGCTCTGCCTTGTCTTGTTGAGATTGAGGCGGCTCAGATACCCGAACAACTTCAGGGTTTGGTGACGGTGCACGGCGCGTTGCATGCCTACCGTTCAGCATATTTGAACGAAATGCTGCAGAAGCTGCTTGTTTCCGTGAACACCCTGAGAATGTCCCTGGATGATTGCCGCCACAATTAGCGCATTTCGTTTCGCTCTTGTTGGTGCAGTCCTTGTAACGATGTGGTCCAGCACATACCTTGCAGCGTTGAGGACCCCTGCAGTATTTCGCAACATGGCCGTATTTTTGGCATTTGAAGCACTGCACAGGTGATCCGAAGTATTGAAGTATTCCTCGACTGGATGGCTGGTGAATCCAAGAAACACTCGTTGTGGCATTGGCCGATTTGTGCGAAAGACGAGTAAGACACTTTCAGACGGTTGCTCTTCGATGCTTCCGTCCTCCTTCCGATAATATGCAATTTGCCGTTGAACGGATGTTACGCCGTTGTCAAGTAGGTACTCCAGCAGTGCAGAGTTGGAGTATTCAAGAGGAACGTTCTTGATTTTCCCCAGATTCTTTGAATACGTCTCCGGCACGTGGGCGGTGACTTCAACGCTGCCTATGGAGTGAAGAGCCAGTAATTTATTTGCCGAGCAAAGTGATGCCAGGTGTACCGTGAGGCTACCGTCCTTGTTAATTCTGTGCGATAGAATCTTCTCCTGTGTTACTGCAAGAATGTCGTTTGCTATTGAGTTAGGGTTTACTTTCCAAAATGACTTGGTTCCTGTAGGTTTCAAGATCACTGGGATGCCAGATGGTCTGTTGTTTCGGTAAGTTACGACGGTGAAAGGTGATGAGTCTTCGTCGTCGCCGTCCTTGAGCGAGTGTGATGGTGACTCGTCATTCTTTCCAGCTGTCCCTTCTTCGCGTACTTGTTGGTGTGCTGGGATCATGACGTTGGCCTTGTTAGGGTGATCATTTGCAGTCGAGTGGTCCATTGTATTGTTGTTCCTTGGCTGGTGCCAAGATTGTGACCGGGACCTGGTAGTCGATGGCCGTGGTGACCGGGACCTGTCAGCCGGTGGCCGCATTTTGCAGCTCACGGCGGAGCGCCGCTTATCATTCTCGGCCAGCGTGGCGTCGGAATGCAGTGTCACCAATAGCGACGGTTTCAGATCTGTCACAGGTCAAATAAGAAATAATATGATCGCTTACTAGAGGAGCGAGCAAATCGGGCTTCCTATTCCAGGCACTTCTTCTTCTTCAATATCGTGATAGTGCCGTGCGATCGTCTTACCAGAAACGATCACATATATTCCGCTACAAACGTTTCGACAGGGATACCGATTGTCATTCGACAGGGATCACCTTGCAGCATTACGAAACACAATGATCAATGTATGGTTTTTTCTTTGCTTTAATAAAGAAATAAAAGCAAAACACCTTGCAATTTTGCATTTCTTCCTTTTTTTTTTTTTTTTTTTTTTTTTTTACTGCATGTTTAGGAAATTTCATCTTATCGTCTGCGGCGGTACGGAACATACGACAAACAATGCCATTGCCTCCTTAGGAAGCTGTGCCGCAGCGATCACTGCTAGTCCCAATACAACATCGGCGCTTTTTAGCTTTTCTAACTGCAGACGGTACGAAACGTCACCACTATATTGGCGGCGGTTAGTCGTCATTTCTCTTAGTTCTCGATTTCTAATGGTTACCAGAAGGAAAGATGTGCGCACCTTCCTGCGCGCCTTCAGCTTCGTCTCCTTGTCCATCCAGTCTACCTGCTCCACTTGAAAGATGAACGACTCCAAAAGCTCCTGCGTAATCCAGTGCACGTAATCCTACGAAGAAGACGACCATGTCGACACAAACTCTAATACAATGCAGTTCCCCCAAAAAATGTTCTTTTTTCCCTGTTCACGTTCGCGGACAGATTGATGGATGGAAGCATAGAGCTGAACCAGTTTAATAGGGCGGAGGCTTACGCTATCCTAAAACCACTGAAATTTAGTATGAACAGTTAACCTCTGGCAAATTACTCCAGTCATTTTCGTAAAACCTCTCCGAGGTATAACTGGTAAAATTTTGATCCGTGTTAAGAAAGCGCCTCTTCACAATCTGGTATGTGCATCTACAACCCGGCGCATAAAAAAAATTAATGGGATAAGAATATATTTGTTTTTCCTCAACTTAGAACGCTAGTGAGATAGAATCCGCTTGGTTACTTGGTTACTGAACTTCAATGTCTTTACTAGACGGCCGATATTAGCTAGTTACATAGGATACTCGCGAGCCTTCTTTCAGTGTTGGTGTGAATGCATGCCGTGCAATTTGCTCCCATTTTTGGGAAAACAAATGAGTGAGCTCGCCTTTGAGTATGTAAACACTAGAAAGGTATGTACGTGAACTGCGCGACACAAAGAGCGCGGAACTCGTTTTTTTTTTTTTTTTTTTTTGCTATTTACTTCAATATGTTATTTGCAAACACCATATTTCATCACCTAAGGCAATCCATCGGATGAGCCCTTTTCACTGACAACGCCCCGTGTTATACATAATGAGCAAGGCTGTCCAGGCTGCTATTGCTTCGGCAATTATTGCTTACTAGTCGCGTGAAACGCTTAATGAAACAACGCACTCGCTCCAGTAGCTTGGACAGTGGTCGCGTTTACGTGGAAGCGACCGTAGCACGTCAAATCGAGATGTTACTCTTTTTATAGACCCCTTTCGAAAGTGTGCTCTAAGTTGGAAGCTGTGGTACCTGCACAAATATCGGATACAGGAGACTTCGCCAAAGTTGGAACACTGCGTTACTAATTCTACTTTATTTTCATATTTTTGTATTATCGGACTCGTATTTCCATGGTGTCGATTGTTTCGTCCATTGTACAGTTTTTCAAACCTTCTAGCAGTGAGCACGTGACTTTTGAAAAAGGCCTATTGGGTCAAAGAGGAAACAGCAGAGAGACGGGGTGCGTGTGTTTGGTCCCTGTTCGATACAGTGCATTCATGTAAGCCCAGCCAGTGTTGTGCACCATGGACGCGACGGAGTATAAAACGTCCCGTAGACAGCACGCGGAACGATCAGGAACCGAAGATGCGGGTGGCGTAGCGGCGGCGGCGGGACTCACAATGAGCGCTCGATTTTCCTCGGCATCGAAAACGAGTGAGGCACTGTGCTGGGGTGCGAGCTGGACGACCAGCTCGGTGCACGTTTCGGCCACGTCGGTCGGGTCCGTGTAGCCGTAGACCGTCCGGCGGTGGGCGTCAAACTGGTGCAGGTACGAGAGGAAGCCCAGGCGCTCCACGATGATCCAGCCGAGGTAGTTGACCACCGCCCGACTTGAAAAGGACAATAAGGGGGCCGCTGCTGACCTCCTGGTTTCTTTCCTACCTCATGCTAATGACCTCTCAATAAACATAAACAAAGTATTACCTTAAGTTTAGACGCAGCCGACGCTACGAGCTGAAGGAACCAATCAGACAGCGTCAGAAGCTCACCATCATGGCGTTTGTCATGTTTTAGATGCGGAGCATCTCTTGCTCGGGTCTATGTCCCGCGGCATCGGCGTCGTAGTCCGTACTCACACTACGCATGCGCAACTCTCCTCCTTCCCTCTCTCCAACAGCTGCGCGTTACTCTCTACGCTCTCTCTCTCTACCAGCTGCGTGGACTTCGCGTGCGTTCGCTTCTACTCGCACCGCGCGCGCATGCGCAACTCTCCTCCTCTAGTCTCCTCTCCTTTAAGTGTGAATATAAGCAGCGGTAGCGCGCTGCGCGCGTTCAGAGGGAGGAAGTGGCCGAGTGGGCTAACGCGTCTCAGCTCGGAGCGTGGAGCGAAAGCTTGCGCTGGGAACCTCCTGGGTTCGATCCCCGCCGCCCCCGCCCGTTTCGATCTGGATGAGTTTCGTACCGGCACGCGTTCGTGTGATCACTACTGCGTGATGCACGTAAAAAATCCCAGGTTAGCGGTTGTACCGCACTGGCTAAATTTCTCATCTACAGCTAAGAGACCGATTACCCGTTGAGGCGCATCTCCATCAAGGCTGTATAAACATAAAGAGCAAACCAATTTTTTTGCGCGCGTTCAGTTCACCGCTGTTGACCTCCACTTCACTCCGTTCTTCTGATGAAGTGTGATGGAAGCAACAGTCCCGTCAGTTAGTGGGTTGGCGCAAGCAAGCGTCAGCACCACCCCACAAATTAACAGCAACGCTACGCCCACTGAAGACAAAGCTGCGCAGCGAAGGGCACGCGACGCTGAGCGCAAACGCTTGAAGCGAGCGGCAGACCCTGAACTACGGCAACGAGAAGCGGCGTCCATTCGTCAACGTCGAGCGGCGGATGCTGAACTACGACAACGTGAAGCAGCGGCGGTTCGAGAACGTCGAGCAGCAGAACCTGAGGTTCGGGACCGTGAAGTTCAACGTAAACGTACGAAGCGAGTGGCGGAACCCGACCTTCGAGAACGGGAAGCCGCGTGTAAACGTCAACAACCAGAGGCATTGATCACGTCTTCACCAATTTCAAGATCCACCCACTGCACCGAGATCCCCTCACGGTTCACTTCAGCGACCACAAAGCCATCCTCATCAAAGCAAAGTGCACACCTCAAGTACTAGACGCTGCTCAATAAAGACCTTCGTTAACCGTTTCACCTTCGTCTACGCAATTAAAAGAATTACACCATCTTCCCGAGGGGAACCATGGGGTGATGCGGAGCATCGCGGAGTTTCCAACAACGTTCACGCGATGTGTGGTAACCAACGCAAGTTAACAACGTAATAACACGCAAGTTAACAACGTTACTAACAACGTTACTAACACCGTTAATAACGATCCGCGATGCTCCGCATCACCCCATGGTTCCCCTCGGGAAGATGGTGTAATTTTTTTGTACGTGTTTTTTCATCGGTGAACCTATCAGAAACAAAAAAGGCCTAGTGACTTGCGCTTTTGACGCTGCACGATCGGCCCCATTAGTTCGTATGCCGTCGGCTGCGTCTGGATTTGAGCTGAAGTGAAGTATAGACCCTTTTTCTGTTTACAAACACGAACTGCCTCCTGTGTTGCAAGCGACTTCCGGTCGCTCCGTCTTTGCCAGCCTGTTGAGCTTGCTTATATCGCCGGTGCTAGAAAGCATAAATGCTACAGGTACATCAAAGTTGGAGATCTAACGAGGGCCCTCGGCTGCACAATTTGACGTTTTGGAGGAGGCAAGGATGTTTAAAAAAATGTTCCTAAATGTTAAACAGTTCTCGCGCTCTTTCGTTTTTTTCTTTTTTTCGTTCACCTGGAGGTATTGGTGGTTAAACGTTTCGTCGACATTTCAAGTTCCGGTGTTAGGGTGGGCTTTGTTCATTCTTTTTGTGAACCGGAAGGTCTCTGGGAAGCCAAAGACTGGAGAACCGCTTGATCGCGTTCCATCAAAAAGGGTCTATAGGACTCTTCGACAACACACGAAGAATCGGTCTTACTTTATACCAAGCTGAAACAATGAGGGCACGATTAATGCAAGCCTACAGTTTAGCCCTTGCAGTCAAGGTAAAAAGAAAAATACAAAACAAAAACGCAGAGGCCTTTTCTTAACGAACGCAGTACGAGGCTTTTTGTCGTCACGTTGCTTGCTTCGTCATTTGTTCTTCGACGTTCTTCTTAGGCCGCAATTTCATTGGCTGCTGTGTGATCATATAATGCGAGGGACCGGCCGCGCCCAGCATATCTTAAACTGTCAGAAAAACAGTCCGCACGATGGCTCAAGAACGACACCGCTCGCGCTTTTGAGAGCTGATAGCACAGAAATTTTTCAGCAGGCCGTTCGTGACGTCATGACCAGGATTTCCCTCACTGTGAACCGGCGATTGGGCAGGCACGATCAGTATACAGGAAGCTATAGGGTTTGGCCGATCGCGAACTTAGACCACAGTGACGCTTATGGTCGCGCACGTCGCTAACAGTGCCACAAGTGCAACTGACGAAACAATTAAACTAGGAATTGAAAGATGTAGTTTGAAATTACAAAGACGAATCACGAAATTAGGGACAAAATGACAGATGATATGGTCTCTTATGCACGAAAACTTGCACTGCCTTTTTTCGTTGTCTCAACGTTTCTTTTCTCCCTCTCTCTCTTTTTGTAAATGTATTAACATGTTTGTTAGAAATAAGTTTTTTTTTATTTGAATGATCTCCATTAGGAGTGCACACCCTATGCAATAAACTTTTAGTGATTTAATAACACTATCTCTCCTCCCTCTGTTTACAAATGGCGAAGTGAACAGCCTTTTTATTTTCTGTACACGGTGTGTCTGCTTTATTAATGCTGGTATGGAGGGAGGGTGATTGTTTTCCCTATTGAAAAATATTTTTTACCGGAATGTCATTTCCAGTAAAAGTCTATTTTACTGGATTATGGGACTGTTTTCACTTCCAGTAAAGCCGTAGCTTACCGGAATGTCGCCGGATTTGTTACTGGAATGTCACCGGTTGTTTTACAGGAATGTTACCGGATTATTACCGGAATGTCACCAAATATTTTACCAAAATGTCACCGGATTTTTACCGGGAGTCTATTTCCAGTAAACGTCATTTTTACTGGATTATGGGACTCTTTTCACTTCCAGTAAAGCCATAATTTACCAGAAGATCACCAGATTGGCCGGAATTTACCGTGTTTTTTCTTTCTGTTTTCGGACGTCAACCGAAGGCACTTAGGAGGAAGCCTGTGAACCGTGGATGGTTATGTTTACCAGATGCTGGACGATTCGGTAACAATTAAAGTGGTTAGTCCATATAGACTTGAAGGTTCTATGTATTTATTTAACAGGGTCGATACCAGTAAAACAATTTGCACAGCTGTAGACAAAAGCAATCAGACCAAATAGGAACAATTATGCAAGTTCTTGGCCGCAAGATATCTTTCAAGGTACTCACAATGCCGCTTGGTAAAGTCCTAGGCGCACGGTAGTTCAACAAATAAAACCGCGCAGGTGCACCACACGGACACACACAGGTATACTGTCAGCAGCACGTTTAGCGAAAACCACGAACGTGCGGAGCGAACATCCACCGCCGTTGAGAAATCCCGGGCACACTCACAATGTCGTCCCTAATGCCGTCGCCGCGGGTGCACCCGGCGTCAGTAGCACGCTTAGCAAAAACCACGAACGCGCGGAGCGAACATCCATCGCCGTTGAGAAATCCCGGGCACACTCACGATGTCGTCCCTGATGCCGTCGCCGCGGTTGCACCAGGCGTCAGTAGCACGCTTAGCGAGAACCACGAACGCGCGGAACGAACATCCACCGCCGTTGAGAAATCCCGGGCACACTCACGATGACGTCCCTGATGCCGTCGCCGCGGGTGCACCAGGCGTCAGTAGCACGCTTAGCGAAAACCACGAACGCGCGAAACGAACTTCCGCCGACGTTGAGAAATCTTGGGCATAGTTTTTTTCGCTCGGTGGATGCTTCTGAAGACGGACGGACAAAGAGGCGTAAGAAACAGGTCACTGAAAAATATATTCTTTTCATCTACACACCCTGCTGCTTTGGAAGACACAGGTCGCACACATGGAACGCGAAGCCGAGACTGAGCGTTCGTTCCTGACCGGTCGTTGCTCGTTGACGGACAAAGAAACCGGTTGTCTTCAAAGAAAAAATAAAAATAAAATAAGTCAGCACAACGACCCTCTTGCATTTTCCGCACGAACCCAATGCGAGGGAGAGAGGGTGCGTGGGGACTCGTCCTTAGTCGCCGCACGCCGGCTCGTCGCGGCTTCCCCCTCCCCTCGCGTCGGCTTCGAGTGAAGGTCGGTAAACAGGGAAGCGAGTCACCCGTTTCGGGTAAAATTTCTAGGAAAACCGGGTCGTCTGATTGTATACGAAAGGGGCTGCCGGTGGCATTCCAGTGAAATCTGTTTGCCGGCCAATAATCTACCAAAGACTGGTAAACTGGTTTCGAATGAAAAGGGGTGAAAGAGCCCTCCTTTTTGGATCGTCAAAACAGTTCACTGCACGCACTTCTTGAGCATTGCACCGTCGTCCCGAGCTGTAACTCGCACTCACGAGAGTGCCGCTCGAGTGGTCTCGTACCTGCTCTGGCCTAGACTTTTGCCTGTCGCAAATATCAAGTTACCGGCGATCGCTGCCCACCTTTTTGGATCGTCAAAGCAGTTCGCTGGACGCACTTCTTGCAGAATTGCAACGTCGTTTCGAGCTAAACCACGCACTCACGAGAATGCCGCTGCATTGGCGGCCGCCATTACAAAACAGTCCCCCTGCTCTTCTTGGCTTCCTTGACTTTAGCCGTTCCCCTTGCGTCGGCTTCCAGTGATGTTCGGTGTCCGGTAAACGAGAGTGGCTTCCGGTAGGATTCCAGCGGCGGTTAATGGAAAGTGGTTCTGGTATAACTTCCAGCGAAAGTGGCTACGCTGGTTTCTGGTGAAAATGAGTGGAAATTAACCCGTTTCCGCCGAATGTCACGGAAAGTTTTTGCCGCATTTTTACCGTAAGTGGCTCCGGTAAAAGGTCCATCGACATCTGGTTACTGGAAGTGGCAGCCGGTAATATTTCCACCAAAAACTGGTAGACTACGCTGGTTTCTGGTGAAAATGAGTGGAAATTAACCCGTTTCCACCGAATGTCACTGGAAGTTTTTCCCGGATTTTTCAATAAGGTTCCTTCTTTCCTTTGTGATATTCTGTCCCTGTGGGTCTCCCTATATAAGAACTTTTCAAGTTAAAGAAATTTCCAGCTGTGTTAGAGATTTTGTGCGCGCGTGCTCGCGTGCGTGGGTCCGCGCGTGTGTGTCTGTTTGTGTGTCCGAATGGGGTTTTTTTATTGGCGCATTTTACCTCGCTATATTTCAAAGCATTGATATGTTGCTGCAAAAAATGAAAACATGTTTGGGAATAAATAAGCGCTTCACACGCCGACCGACGCAACATTTATGATTCAATATGCCTTATGTGGCGTACCCGAATATGAATATTTTGCAACGGAGAATATTGTCAGTCTGCTCAATGTTTAGGGTGTTCATATCTGCGTTCAAACGCCGAACCCTACGCGAGGAGCAGGCGACGCTTTTGTTTGCTCCCATAGGAGACATCGAGTAGAGATAGAGGCAGCCAGCCTTTGCGTCTATCCACTATCCTTCCAATTACAACTCGGCGATGTGACGTCACCGCACGCACTCAGCTCCCACTTTCCTTCAGCTCCCACCCGTATAGATGTTTTGAAGTACGGCCTCTGGGCGCCGCCATCTTGCTGCTGGTGTGGGTGGATTTTCTGTTAGTCAAGCAATCCTGAGGCGTACCCTCGGCTTGACATCAGGCGATCTACCCACACCAGCAGCAAGATGGCGGCGCCCAAAGTACGGCCTCTGGGCACCGCCATCTTGCTGCTGGTGTGGGCGGATTTTTTGTTAGTCAAGCAATCCTGAGGCGTACCCACGGCTTGAATAACAGGCGATCTACCCACACCAGCAACAAGATGGCGACGCCCATGGAGGCGTACTTGCAAACGTCTTTAGGTGGTAAACCAGTGACTCTAGTTTGGCCTAGCGCGAACACGTACACATTAAACTCAACCTTGAACAGCCTGTTGATGCAGTGAAGGTACTTCTTGTCCCAGATGGTGACGACCTGGCTTCCTGGATTCGACATGGTTTGATGACTGCGATCCGTCGTCCTCTCCTGGATCCGCACGAGCAGTCGGTACCACTCCAGCTGCGACGGAGGGGAGCGCTGCGTCACAAGGACTGGCCACGAGGCGGCGCAGACTGGGAAAAGACCTTTTAGCAGAGCGTGCAGTGCCTTTCGTGGTGCCAAAAGGAATGCCGGAAAATGGCTATATGGAACCGGCTGTAGCGGACAACTGAGGTATATATACACCAACTCAACTTTTTGAAGTCACTACCGCGGCGGTGCTGTTGTCGGCACTGCTTATTTGCAGATGCTTCACTTGTCGGTTTCTGCGCACCCACAGTGCCCACACCGGGTGTGGGCTAGGCGGGCTTGTTTGTTATCAACCTGTTTGTGTACATTGTATCTTCAATGCGACGGAAGTTATGCAAGCGAGCGTGGTAGGGCGGGCAAGCATCTGAGCTACATTTCCCTCTCTTAGGCCTTTCAGTATCATGTGGTAGATGCTGTGGGGAAGGAGGAGCGTAACGGAAGTTCCCATCAATCGTCGCGCGTGCTGCGCGCGCGACTTCTTGGATTATATTGGCGGAAGGTTTACTCGGAAGCTGGACGCGGGGAATGAGGCGACGACCGTTTGTTCTAGCCTGCCATCGTCTGGTTAGGCTATGGCGTCCACGCGAGAACGGGTTTCGCGCGAAACGCATTGTGTTCCAAAGCAACTATTTGCTGCAGCAATTTTTCTTTCCCTATTTCACTACCTTCGAGGCTTCCGTTACTCGCGTTCAACAGCAGGCTAGCGAACTTTGTCAACGCTGTGATCGTCTGAGACCGAGGAACAAGGAAAGTGGACAAACCATACACAAGATACTTTGTCGAGAGATAATTATTAGCGTTATTGTTTCGTGAAAGGACAGGATCGCCCGGTCAAAAAAAGAGAGAGAGACAGAAAAAAAGTGGTAAATTAAAAATAAATACATGCACATTGAAAAAAAAAGAGAAAAGAAACATGACACGTGCACAGAAACGAATTTCTGTTTCTTTTTCAAGAACGTATTCGTTTGAGTGCTAGACGGCCAGAGTCAAACAAAAGTCGTTCCATGGTCCTATCTAGAAAACAGGCTATTGATAGGGAAAGTCCTACAAAGTTTCAACATAAATTGGTGTAATGGCCGGTTTTATATTTAGAAGTATAGACGAATGGCTCCACATACTTTGCTTCCCGAAAGGTTAAATACAGGGTCCGATAGAGGAAATGCAACCCTGTTTTCCAACCCGTATAAATAAACGCATTGCGGAAAGATCAAATATCGTGTCAATGTTACAATATACCCCAATTAACTCGACGTATGAGCGTAGCAGAAGCTACAAGAGCGAGCTCCGGGCTTTCAGCGTCCCTGCCAAATCCCGCGCGCGCTCGTGCAGCAGTTCAAGCACTGTTCAGGACCACATGCTCGCGCTTGTAGCATCGGCTGCGTCTGGACTTAATCTGAAACGAAGTATAGTGATAGTGATAGAATACGAAAGATTGTGAATAAGACGTTATCCGGATGAAGAAATAGTGAAATACAATTCATCCATGCACTCTTATATTACTCAGTATCAGAAATAGAATTGTGGTTTTCTGTGGCATTTTAGTGAATGAAAACGCTTGTCAAAAAGAAAGGCAATCGCATCTAGCAATATAAAGTTCTACCAGAAATTGATTGCTTTCTAATACGATCAGAAAAAAGAGCGGTCCGGGGAGGGGGGGGGGGGGGGGGGGGGTTATCTGTCCATCGACTGTAATCTTCATTTTTGGATATACGTATACTGTATAAAAAATAACGTCTACACCCTGAAGTTGGTTTTAAATGTCTTACCATGTTCTGGTCAAGTGACAGAGAAGCCAGAGTCACGTTGTTGTCGCTGTAGTCTTTTATGGAAGGCTTCAATATGGTCATCTAGAGGAGCAGTAGTAGTCGAAATGTATGTCAGTATCAGTTGGCTCTCGCGTTGCACTGTGATTACGAGCACATTTCAGTGAACACAGGTCAAGTAGCGCCCCTGCTGTCTACCATCTTAATAAGCGGAAAAGCAACTGCGATAGATTTCAGAGTGCAACTATGCCGACCTGTACAGCATTTCCTGTACGTGCGATTGCAAGCCTGCCAAGGTGCCTTCGCCTGCGTGTGCGTATGCTTGTATGTGTGGGGTGACCAACCTGGTAAAGCACAACTTTGTCAAAGCTATTCGCGAAAGCGCGAGGCTTCATTTATCGTCCCATTTGTACGAGTGCATGCCAGTCAAATCCCAATTCAAGAGACAGGCTAGACCGTTTTACTGAAAGAAGGCGAGCAAGAAAAGGGGAAAGGTCTACCGGCGCTTTCTCCCTTCCTGGAGCGTTGGAAAGAGTGAAAGTCCCGGATGAGGGGCTTCGCCGGTGTTGGGTGTATGCATTGCCCTAACTTGGTTCGCGCTTTCTTTTTGGTTTTAAACTCCCTCACTTAATTAGAGTCACGGGCTTGGATGGTGACAGTCCACCGGTCATCGGGACACCATTGCTCGGTTATAGGGTGCACAAATATCTACAGACACAAAGCATCGACTACTGTCTGAGGACCTATGTAGCTTGCACGGAATCCGGCAAGGCGAGTGCGGCTGCAATGTCTTTAAGCTTCATTGCTTTCCACATGACCCCCCTTTCCGGCGGGCGTGAGTTGCGTCCCTAAACCGAAAAGACTTTCCCCAACGCCATCCTCTCGACTGTGCTCGGAACATTTTGTGAATGGGGCGCGCACCGCACTTCACGCCGTATCGTCGATGAACATGGGGTAGGCTCGCAAGGTGCGTGCAAGTTTTCTCGTGATAATTGCTGTTTCAGCTTGTAACTTTTTGTAACAGCTTTGACAGCGTTGTACACTAAGAATGAAAGAGGTGTAGACCGCAAAGGTGTCGACACCTGTCGCGATCTACACAACGCGCCTCACGCGAGACGCTCCGGTCCCACACTACCCCGTATTCTAAAAGCGAGCGAACGAAACGTTGGGGGTGTTCACTGGCGGTCATAGCTAAGCTTGCTCCTGCTGCATGACGTGCTGACGGCAGGCCTCCCCAACGCTTCGAACACGCACATTGCGCTCCATAAGATTGTCTTCTTTAAGAGATTATGAATAAAAACTCATCCGGAGCATGCGCTGTGAGTAGTCATCACAAATTTGGCGCCCAGTGAATACAATCTATACCGCCTCACAAGCCTCCCCACTAGCTGAAAATGGTTGACGTCGGGCTGGCAATCTTATGGTTCACGGTTCGACTCCCCTTGAGGGAATTTCAGAGTTTTGTTTTGTCGTCTCAATTAATCCTCTTATCATTCTCAAGCACATGGGCATTCGTTTTGTGTTACAGAGCAAAATATTACCAAAAAACAGCCCCCCCCCCAAAAAAAAAAAAAAGAAAAAAAGTCGCATTAAAAAGATTTTATTAAAAGAAACTAGCAGAACCCATAATAAACTGCCCGCTAAGCTCCTGCTTTTATTCAGGAAACATACCCTTGGTTTGTACCCCTCTCTTAACATTGCTGAACGCTTTCCAAGAATTCGAGTCACACGCACGATCTGCGGAGGTTGAGGAATTCGACAGCCCCGATAAAAGCCACTTTGTGTTCGATACTGAACGAACACAAACACGAACACGCACACGCACACACACACACACACACACCCGCGCGCACACACACGAATACACACACGCACAAACACACACACAAACACACGAACACACACGCACGCACGCACACACGAACACGAACACAAACACACACGAACGCACACACACACACATACGAACACACATACACGCGACCATACACACACACACAAATTGTGGAAAAGATAAACTCCAAAAAAATTTCCTTGAATTTCAAGTAAAATAAACCCGGAATTGAACTAGACGATAATGTGATTAATACAAAGGCGCAAGTGAGGTAGACAAGAATAACGATACTAATCTCTGAAGAAGGGGAAGAAGGAGGACAAAGGACAAACAAAGGACGCTGAATTATTACAACGGCTCTGATCTAAAACAGAAACCGGGAGTCACGCACAGAAGGGCTTCGTTTGTACATATAAAGGTGAAACGGAGCAAAGATTTTTTTTTTTTCACCAAACGCGAACACGGTGGGTATGAAACGCCACAATAAAGCTTTTGTGGCATGATAGAAATAACAGAAAACTTGCAGGCGAGTTGGCGACCTTTGAGCATCTTGAAAACCCGAGACTTCGGAACGAAAAAGTGAACGACACAAACCAAGTGTCGCGTTTCCAGGATGTTGATTTTTGTAGCAGTTCGTTCTGATTTTAGCTTTTTCGTGGGGCCTTCGGGCCATTCAAAAATTGAATAGACCGTCATCGGTGTGCCTTTCCGCAGGGTAATCTGTAGTAAAAGGCGAAAAATTAACGATACTAATCCCTGGACAAGGGGGACAAAGAACAAACACCGATGTCCAAACGCAGCTGTGTTTGCCCTTTGCCCCACTTGTTCCCCATCTCAAGGGATTGTTATAGTTATTCTTGTCCAGTTCGGTTGCACCTTTTCATCATTGCATTTTTATCACAGCGAAAAATTAGTTCGCGATAGTGTAGAGGGGCAAGAGCTATCGTCCTAATATTTCTGAAACATAAAGACAACTCCAAAATCTTCTTCTTTTGCCAGTACTTTTTTTTTTTTGCGTCATTGAGATCACTTGTCAATTAACAATTTTAACAAATTTCTTACATTAGATTACGTTTTGAGTATTACGCAATTTTAAAAAGCAACCAAAACGCTCCACACAAGTAGTAACTACGAGATGTAAGCAAAAATAAATAAATAAGAAGTGACGTTACGCTGTTGAATTCCCCCAAATCTACAGCGGAAAAACAGGTGCATTTATACTACGTGTTTGTGTATTACAAAGGTCCGTTCACATGATAACGTTTGTCCCAGAATTCGAACATTTTGCGCTGAAGTCGGGCAACACTGTGCGTAAGTCGAACTTCGTCGGAACTTCGGTGAAAGATCGGAGGTTCGTCGATCCAGTCGACCCTCGGTTTCGAAAAAAAGTTCGCAACATCCGCAGCGGGAACGCACCTGGCGGAGGTAGTGCTGGAGTAAGACGATCTCCCTGGCGATGCCCTGGAGCGGAATCCCGGAGCGGAATGTTTGCGCGATGGCGGTGATGCTGTCTTCGTACGACGCGAGCACCGCGGAATCGCTGGAAGCCTGTTTGGCGCGCAATTCTGTAGCGAAAGCGAACTCTGGCGGCCCGATCTAAAAAAGAAAAAATACAAATCACGTATTATTATAGAAATCTAAATTCCTACTTGCACGCTAGTACGCCCTATGGTTATGACATGTAGGCAACTGAGCCAGGCACGCAGCCAGGACCTTTGTTCGGGTGGGTGAGCAAGATAAGTTATTGCAGAGAAACCGCACTCCGTACCGGAGGGTCCATCGTATCGTATTGTGTGTGCAAGAACGGTTCCCTAAAACTATCGAATAAGGACGCATTTGTTCCCCCCAACAAATGCTCCATAATGTGAGTTGACCATAATGACGAGACAGAAATGCGTGTGTTTTCTCAGTTTGTCTCCAAAAAACGGTGTCCGTCTAGCGGAGTATTCATATAGCCGGGTATCCATATTAACGGGGTCCATAATAACAATGCACAACTGCAGTAGAAAGCGGGAGAGAGCGAGTGAGTCAGTGTATGTCAATGAGTTTGTGGGTGTGCGAGTGAGTGTGAGTAACGCCATAACAAGGCCGTAGTGCTGGTTTTTCTGGGCTACCGGATGGCAGTGAAATGCACAAATTAGACACGACTGCAGCGTCACTGCTTGACCGGGACTCGTGTTTTCACTCATCGAGAACGAGTTGTAGCTGAACGATGACGCAGCACCCGCGTTAAATCTTTGCCCCTCGGTGGCCTATTGTAGGCGACGTACGAAGACAACACGACGATTACGGCCTCCTTGTCTATGAGGCTTTTTTTTTTTTCTTTTTTTTTTTATGCGAGCGAGATTGCTAGTGAGTGAGCGATTTTAAGTGATGATGAGGTTGAGCGTGTCAACAAGTGCGTGAGCAAGTGTTGGCGTGCGAGTGAACGTGTGAGAGTGTGCTAGGCTGATGACACGAGCGAGAGTGTGCGTGAGTGTCTTTGAGTGAGCGTGGTGAGTGAGAGTATGTAAGAGAGTGTGTGAGTGTGTGAGTCAGCGAATATAAAAGTGCGAATGTGACTTATGAGTGAAAGCGTGAGAAGGCGTTGGCGCGAGGTTGTGAAGGAGTGTCTTAGTGTGCTATATGTAAGTGAGTGTAGAAGTAAAGAGTGAGCGTGAGCGCACGAGAGTGTGAGTCAGTGAGAGTGAGTGCGTGTATGTGTGACATGGTGAGCGTTGACAAGTGTGAGTGTGTGAGATTGGGACTGTCGTTGAATTGTGAGGGTGTGAGTTTGTGAAAGCGTGGGACTGCGTCTAAGTATGTGTGTGAGTCTGTGTGTGCGCATTAATGTGTGCGTGGGTCAGGGGGAGAGGGAGATTAATTCATAAATCTGCTGGTTGGCTACGCATATTAAACATGGATAGCGCGAAGGAAAAACGACGACACGAAGAAGGTGGGACAAGAGAAAAAATGACGCAGTAAAAAGGAAAGAGGGCGGAGAGAGAATGAGAGATTGAGTGAAACGGTCCAGTCTCGCCGCTCACCTTGAAGCCGTACGTACGGCCCAGAGCTAGCCGTTGATGCCCGGGGTACGTTTCGAGCGTGAGCGAGAAGAGACCGCTGAGGCCGAACAAGCTGAACGACTCGTACAGGATGTTGGAGATGTTCGGGTTGTCGATGACTTCCAGCATGGGCCACCGCACGATCCCAACCTTGCGAAGAACGGCGTTGATTTCACGCGTGGTGACCGTCAAATTGGGCTCGGTGATTTCTAAGAGATGGAAGACATACCACGCCATGGAATGCCAACTACACCTGTCTGCCGCATTGAAAGTGTTTCGATGACTTCCCTCTCCAAAGATATAGTTTTCGATTTCAAGGGGCAGTGAAAAAGGCATTGCAAGAGGATTCTCTTAGTGCGGCAGCCCCGTTTCTCAAGCGGTGCACTGGACTTAGTGAAAGGCAAGGACGAGGGACAATATGGCTTTGTTGAAACTATGTGTCGCTGGAAAGTGCAGGAATGAAAACGATATATTTCCTATCGCTCTCAAAAATGTATTTTCATCAGTTTTTTGTTTTTTTGTTGTTGTTTTTTCGCGCAAAGAAAGTGAACACATCTGTAGCGCCATCGAGGCGCGCAAGGTATCCTGTAAATCAACAACTACATCGACACTCACCTTTTTTACATTTCGAGTAAAATTTTTCCAAGAACCCCTGTTCTTGCGTCGATGACAACTTTTGACTCTCTTCGAAGCTTTTTATTATTGCTGAAAAAGGCAAGTTTCAAAGTCGACGTTATATCTTTCTCCGGTACCACAATACTCTCGTGATAGACAATATTGTTTTTCTAAATTGCCCAAGTTTTAACCGAAACCAGCAAATAAAGTTTACTGTAATCAGTATCTAAATGTTATTCAGATCAAAAATGTGAAACCCCGGTGTTTGATTACATCGATGTCAAAACAAAGCTCACAAAATAGAAAGAAAAAAGAAAAAAAAAAAAAGAAGTTTTGGTGCCTTTAACTTGTTTTCATATCGCGGGTCATTTTGATTTTTGTTTTTTTTTTGTGAAACTTGGGGAAATTTGGTATAACAAAAACTACGCATCGCACAATAAAAAAAAAAAGCAAGAAAAAAACATTGATGTCTTTTTTGCTTTCTGCCCAGGGGCCTACATAAGAAAATATTAGCGTTCCGGATAATTAAATTATTAATTATTTTCGAATAATTAACTTTCTAATACTTGAATTTAATGACCTGGGTTCAATTAGAAACTTGCTGGGCATCATTGAAAACCACGAAATGAAATCTAATACGTATGTAACGCTAATCCATCACTTCACGACGTTCCAAAAAAAAACAACATAGTTTGAATGACTTTTTCAGTTTCGGTTTCTTCTCAGGCACTTTTTCCTGTAAACGTTTCCGCTCCTGACGGCGAATGAGCGCAACTAAACGCTAGAGAAGCGCGCACCTTTCCACTCTCTAAGGAGAAGAAAAAAAATAGTAAGGTCGGGGCTTCAATTTACGTCGTGAAGCCGGTTGGCCAGCGAAGCTGTGGTATCAACTGCAAGGATTGCTCACTGCGCTATACCAAATGGTTTGCAAAAGAAAAGCAAATACACTGCAACAAAACTTTCTAAATACAGAGTGTTTACCGCAAGAGTGGCAAATATTCCTAAAATTAGTGTATTCGTGGTAAAAGGATAATTTTCTTGGAACCAGTCATTACTCGTGGTGGCGTACGCAAGAAAATACGCGATACTTGCTAATTAGTTCGCTAATTAACTTTTCAATTAGTGAAAATAGACATATGGTTCCAATAAGAAACTTGGTGAGCGTCATTGAAAAACCCAAAACGGATCATTTTCACAAAGACTGAGCACGTGAGAAGCGTAGTAATGAACGAAAGTTACCATTCGTGGAGCAGGCAAAAAGGCTGACTCACCGTGATGTGTCATGACAGATTAAGAATTGAGTACGTACTCCGCCTCGAGCTCTCTGCTTTTGCTAACATATCGTCGGAAGCGCCCGCAGTCAAAGGCAACACGCGCGTGATAGAGGCGCAGCTTTTACTAAATTCTCAGCCTTGCTCTTGGTTAAAAAGTATTCAATTGGATTACTCGATAACTCGAGAAGAAAAAAAAATGAAAGACGTTTACAAATCTCTGTAATGAGAAAATAGACCTCAGCTTTTTAGAAGGAGGAGAGGAGCGTACGAAGGGGAGGGTATGCCCGTCCTCCTCCTCCGTACCCTCCCCTTCTCCTGCCGCTGAATTTGTTCATGGTTCACGTGACACAAAGTCGTGACGTCATTTTCTCCGCTAAATTTAGAGGGAAAACTGAATTGGTGTCGAGGTCACGTGACGTCAATTTCCCCGTTAAATTTAGCGGGGAAACTAAACCCGCTAAATTTAGTGGAGAAATTTACCCGCTAAATTTAGCAGAAAAAAAATGAAAGCCGCTTAGAACTCCCTGTAACGCCGAATTAGAGCGCAGCTCTTGAGGAGGAGGAGGGAAGGGCACTGGGGAGGGGGGTTAAACTAACCAGGGGGGGTCACGTTACCTTGGGGGTCACGTGACCCCCAATGCCGATGATGTCATCACTGACGTCACTGATGACGTCATCAGTGACGATGACGATGCGGGTACCGATGACGTCATTAGTGACGTCACTGATGACTTCACCAGTGATGATGACGATGACGATGCGAATGTCGGTGACGTCATCAGTGACGTCGCTGATGACGTCATCAGTGATGATGACGATGCGGATGCCGGTGACGACATCAGTGACGTCACTGATGACGTCATCAGTGATGATGACGATGACAATGCGGATGTCGGTGACGTCATCAGTGATGATGACGATGACGATGTGGATGCCGGTGACGTCATCAGTGATGATGACGATGACGATGTGGATGCCGGTGACGTCATCATTGATGATGACGATGACGATGTGGATGCCGGTGACGTCATCAGTGATGATGACGATGACGATGCGGATGCCGGTGACGTCATCAGTGATGATGACGATGACGATGTGGATGCCGGTGACGTCATCAGTGTAGATGACGATGACGATGTGGATGCCGGTGACGTCATCAGTGATAATGACGATGACGATGCGGATGCCGGTGACGTCATCAGTGATGACGATGACGATGATGATGACGATGACGATGATGATGGTCACGTGACCTCCCCGAGGTCACGTGACCTTGGGGGTCACGTGACCTTGGGGAGGCGACCACGTGACCTCGGGGGTCACGTGACCTCAGAGGGGTCACGTGACTTGGGGGTCACGTGACCTTCAAAGGGTCACGTGGGGTCATTTTGGGGTCACGTGACCTTGAGATGACCTTGGAAGGGGTCACGTGACCTCGAGGGGTCACGTGACCTTCAGGGGGTCACGTGGGGTCACGTGACCTTGAGATGACCTTGGGAGGGGTCACGTGACCTTGGGGGTCACGTGACCTTGCGATGACCTTGGTTACGCCGACGCCGACGGCGACGGCGACGCCGACGGCGACGCCGCTCAAGCCGGGAACGGGCCCCTAAGAGCTGCGCTCTAAAATTTCCTCGCTAACTTTAGCGCGGGAGCGACCCATAATGCACCGCGTGTGGTTACGCCGACGCCGACGGCGACGCCGTTCAACCAGGAAACGGGTGCCTAAGAGCTGCGCTTTAAAAGTAATTGGAAAGTTACTTGAAAAAGTAGACATTGCATTTCCGATTACTTAAGAATTTCGAAACGGCAGCTTTTTCCTTCCGGTTTGAAAGCGGGTGTTCTGTACTGTCCGTTAATTATTTAGAACCAGCTATTTCTGATATAAACTGCGTATCTTAATCCATCAATTTTGGTAAGCCATCCTCCTGCCGGCGGCTTGGTGCGAGGATTTCTTGGTAGGAAACTCGTAGAAACCAAGGGCGCCATTAGAAAGGGAAAAACAGTAACGGTTACCGGTCATTTAAGTACACGCAAAAAGTAATCAGGTTGCTCTTGAGATTACTTTCTAATCAATGTACTCAAAGTTTCACAGAATTACTCGAAAAAGGTTATCGATTGCGAGTAACTTGATTACTTGTAATGAGTAGAGTACAACTCTGCCTGTCACCGACTATACAAAGAGTCGTATATAGAGAGAGTTCGGTCAGTGGGAGGAGCGGGCGGTGCCAGGGCATGCATCACACTTGGATAGAGATATGCTCTCTTAACCAACCGGAAGACAAAAATAATCCTTTAACGGTGGTAGCGAGAAACAGTTTCAACAAGGGCGTAAGAGGTGAATGCAGTAACTGTTTATGGTTGAAAATAGGGTGCCCGCGATGTTTCGACTATGATCATGCTTGCAAAAAGATGTAAGAAGCGAATGTGCCGCTCGAACTCTCTTTTGCTCGAATGGAGTCTGACCGCTCGGACGGCAGATGCCCGGACCTCGGCATCTAGTGTACTGATTACGTCGATCTCTGCTAATCGCGCACACTTTTTTTATATCTTTAGATAAGCTTTCACTGTGATTTTGCATTAGCGTGATCGAAACGACTCGTGCACAATATTTTCAATCACCGAGAGTTACTCCGACGCACCTATTATTTTTGTCTCTCGCGATCTCCGCCAGGGTATTTATTATTCGCTGCTTCAGGCTGGCCATATTCAAATTTCTGAAGACTCCTGGGAACTCGCCCAGCTCGCTTTCGGCCAATGGCGCCTCCTCGTTTGTCTTCTATACTTCCGAGTGATTGAGCTAACTCTCTCTATATACGGCTCTGACTATACCGACCGGGCAATGAAGTTTGGTGTGACACCATCTTATGGGGAATTTTCGCAACTTTGAGACGGCCCGCCGCCGCAATCCATGGATCCGATCAGGAACTGGAATGTCTGAGAGCCTTTCCGAATTGCGGCGCAGTCCTTTTGTCCGATCGCTCGGGGGCTAGGCCCATCCCCAGCCTTTCCTGGAAATGCTCCCCTTGCGCCCTCTCTTGGCTGTTCTCAGCGAAACGCAGTAAAATGGTGATTTCAGCCAAACTACTGCAGAAATTCTTAAGTTCCCCGGGATATTTATAGGGGGCCCTAGTACACTCTAATTTAATAAATACTTTAACCTCAGCATTGTATACTTTTTATTCCTGAACCCGATATATATATATATATATATATATATATATATATATATATATATATATATATATATATATATATATATATATATATTTGCATTGGGTATTATAGGATTCAATGCAAAAGAAAAAAATGTCGGGTTCAGGAATAAAAAGTATACAATCCCGAGGT